AACAGTAACAGAAAATTCAAATTAGAAATGAGTCATGCTGCTGGTCGCATTCGACACAGGAAGTTGTACATCCAGTCACAATAGTGTTGTTAACAAATAAATCAGACAATCCACTGGCAATTTAGTGACATCCCTGCAGTTATTGTGTTAAATCCTCTTGAGACAGGAGGATGTTTGGCTGTCAAATGATAAAACATTGTCTTTTTGTAATATTCAAATTCTCAACTCAAAATAAATTACATAAGATTTTATAACAGAAAAGTAAAAAAAAAAAAAAGTAAATAAATCCTTTCTTCTTAACTTGACAGCATTATAAACTTGCAAATTCTGTCTGTGAGGTGTATTTCAGGGCAAACAGTCCAAAAATGTGTTATGGCAGGCAGGAAGCAACAGGAAATGGAGAGGAAAATACCTCAGAAAGTGAACAGGGAAGCATAATGGCCTTATTTTGTTATTATTATTATGAGTTAAATGCAATACTAAAAAACTTGACATGATCTGATGTCAGGTTGCAGTTTTTAATTTCGTCTAATTTTCTCTCCTCGCAGATGACCACTCTTGCAGAGGTCCGACAGAGAGAGATGGAGATCTTGTTGGCTTTGAGGGCTTCAAATGAGTCCAAGCTTCTTCCTGCTGAAAACTGTTGTGCACTTAGTCTTTGCGTTTGCCAAAAGGCCCCTTCGGGTGCCATGGTGCAGTGTGAGCTCTGTCGAGACGTTTTTCACTGCGGCTGCGTTACAACAACCGCAGATCTTGAGTACGGCCAAGCCTGGCTTTGCCCGCTTTGCCAGCGGTCAAGGAAACCTCCTCTGGACAAGGTCCTGCCGCTGCTGGCTTCGCTGCAGAGGATTCGGGTTCGCCTGCCAGAAGGAGACGCTCTGCGCTTCCTCATCGAGAGGACGGTTCGGTGGCAGCACAGAGTCCAGCAGGCCTGCACAGAGGGAATGCTGGAGAAGGTGTCAGAGATGGTCAGTGAAAAACCTTTGATAACTCTGTGAATACAGTTGATGAGTTATGTGTGTAATTCAGCATCAGAAGACTTGCTTACTTCAATAAGCTGTTGAAATGCCAGATGGTCTCATAAGCACACCGGACACTGTTACAGCTATTGATTGTTCTTTATTGTTTCAGGAGAGAGTCGGACTGAGAACGTCTTCATGTCTGACTCAGGAAATAAATGGTTCAGCGTTTTATACAGAGCACCAGTCTGTTCCACTCCAGGGTCAGTGTTCAAGGCTTTGCTGTAAACATTTCTGCATTCTTTTTTTTTTTTTTTTTTAAAGTTCCCCTCTGAACTCTCATCATAAATAATCATATCTGTCACAGGGCTTGGTCCTGAGCTGGAGGAGCTGATGGTGGAGGGATTCCTGCTGCAGGTCACTCTGCCTGAGACTGAGCAGCTGTACAGATACCTGCTGTACAAACTGGTTCCCCTGCCCTCACGTAGCACCCCCAGCCCAGAGCAGGACCAGCCATCTCCCAGAGCGAGCCCCCACCACAACAAGGTAACCACAAACACGGATGAGTTTACCTCTTGAAGATAACACGTCACACCCCATACTGTATGCTGGCATTATTGTTTACCATTTATTAAGTCCGGTTTTCCAATCTTAATTTATACATAGAATGGAGTGTCCAGTCTGAAGAAGGAGGCAGTGAACGGTCAGAGCAAAAGGACCAAGCGGCGTAAGGAAAGCTCTGACTCTCAGCACAGTGAGAAGGCGAAGAAGTGTCGCAAGAAGAAGCCCAAGAAAAGCAAAGAAAGGAGTGAAGAATTGAAGAGGAACTGTTCTCCTTCACACACAGTGTCTGATCCTGCTCTTTCAGACTCAGAAGAGGACTATTCACTGTGTGCAGCACCATGGTGCAGAGAGCCAGAGGGCGACGAGGTTCGTTTCAGCAGTCTGCTATACACAGAATATTCTATGCAGTATTTACCTGATCTGATATATTTAACTAAAATTTGCTCAGATTTACAATTTACAGTGAAAATGCTGTAAAACACTTTTTTATTTTGTTAATTTTCCCTGATCTTGCTCATTTCAGGTAAACTGGGTCCAATGTGATGGCAGCTGCAATCAGTGGTTCCACCAGATCTGTGTTGGACTGTCTGCTGAGCGAGCAGAGAAGGAGGACTATATTTGCATAAGCTGCACACAGCCAGACTACGACCGAGGAGAGTGAAGACCAAAAAGTGATGCTGAAGGATCAGCAGTTTTTTTTTGTTTTTTTTTTGCAAGCCGCAGCACTTAGGTGCACACCTGAACTCTGTGTGTCCTGTGGCTTCTCCCCTTTACCTTCTGGCTTGCTCTCAGTGAACTTGGTGCTATTTCCTTTTTCCCCAGAGTTACTAAAGACTTCTGTCACTGTTTTTGTCACATGGCTGGTTTTTCAGCCCTTCAACTAATCCTTTCTGAAACTTTCCAAGACTTGATGCAGATGTGGTAAATTGTTTCAAGAACCAACAGCGCAGGGATTTTTCAACCAAAAAAATGTCAATTTGACATTTTGGAACAGTTTTTTTTTTCTTTTACATGCATCTGAACAATGTGAAACTTTTCTTTCTCTTGTAGAGTAAATATTATTTATCTAAGCAATAGCTGAACAGATTAATTGAGGTTCAGTTTTCACCTGAGCTATATTTGTGCGTAGAAATACTTTGATAAATGCCTTCCTGAAGCAAAAACCCACAAGAATTCACTTTATGAATCCTATGATATTACACAGTTCACTTAAACTTTGTGTACACTGCAAAACAGAAAGGGATCAGTGATCCAAAATGTGCAAATGTTTGCACCTGACAAATTGCTCACATCTCTTAAAATTCACTGACTTTGGTAGAAAGTCAGGCTTCCCTTTTGCGCTGTCTGCAGAGGAAAACAACAGTCCTGGATCCTTTGTTCCTGGCGTTGGGCGAGACTTGATTATGCTCACAAACTAAGAATGAACTGTCCGACATCAAAGGAATGTACATTTTATTTTAGGGTGGATTTTCCCTTTATGGTTGAGGATGAAAATATTGTGTTGGACTTAGATTTAACACAGACTGTGTGATTTATTTGCCACGGGTATATGACCTTTTTCCTGCTCCTTTGAGTAAATAATATAATTCATATGTTGCAGTTTGCATTATAAAATAAAACGTTTGTTCCCATACGTCCAGACTCATCAATCCTCACAGTGTTGAATGCCAGACATGTAAAACCTCATCATTTGTAGTCTGCAATAGTTTCTGTTGTGTTGATTTTGTTTTTATGTTGGAAAGGGAATATGTTGCACAGCAGAACTGATGACGGCAGACTCCTGAGTTGGTTCTTGTGACCCGATGGAATTCACCAAACCAGAAGAAACTGTGAAACTTGTGAGCAAGCAGTTGACTTCAAAGACACCTGGAAACACTACAGATACAGCAGGACATGAAGCGAGGTCACAAAGTCGCTTCTACAAGATCAAATGTGTTCACAGTGGTTACACACAAGCTCTGTGGTTTTCAGAAATTATTTCAGAATGAATTTCTGCAACTTCACAGCTTTCCAGTCTGGGAGCTACGTACCTTTTTCACTTCAGTAGAAACAAATTAAGTTACACATGTAAAAAGTGAACTTGTCTTTTTCAGCAAATCAAACAGCAGCCTTTACAGTAGGATATGTGTAGTTACAGTTATTTGATAGATATTTATACATTGCCCTTGGCTTGTAATTTATGTGCCATACTAAGTTTCCCAGCATAATTATGTTCAACTTCCCATCCCTGATGAAGTACTTCAGCCATCATGCACTCATTTTTTGCACATATACAGTATCTTAGGCCTCAGCAACATATGTATGCAAATACAGAAAAACTGTTCCTTTCACATCCTGATCAGCATTGCCACCTGCTGATTTACATTTTAAGAGCTCTTTTCCCTGTGCTGTGTTCTCTCTGTCTAACCCAGCTGTGACATTTGGATGTGGAGAGAAAACCTTTGAAACTGAAAGGATGTCTTGGTTAGTCTTGAGTAATTACTGGTGTCGCACTGTGTATGTGCGTTATTACCTTTGTGTCTTCTCCCTCATAGTTTTGTCTTCTCATTCCTCTCGCTCTCTCTGTACCTCACTGCAGAAGCTGCACAGATCTGATCTGCAGTTACTGGTCCCACCAACTTGACCAGTGTGGAATGTGAATGTTTTCTCTCTCTGTCATCCTTTTCTCTCTCTCCTGTACCCTCACTCTAACCAGTCGAGGCAGATGTCCACCCTCCCCGAGCCTGGTTCCGCTGGAGGTCTCCTGTTAAAAGGGACTTTTTTCCCCCACCCTCCTCACTGTCATCAGTATGCTTCTCATATGGAATCTTTGTATTTCTCTGGTTTTCCATGTATATTTTTTGTCAGGTTTAAACTTTAAATCTCCATAATGAATAGTTCTGTCCGGTCTTAACATTATTATTTATTCAAGTCAGGTGAATTTGCTTTTTATATAATTTTGTAGGATTTTACTCTTTCAAATATTCAGATAACCTGAAATCATAAATGGCATGCTAGAATCTTACCCTTTATATATAGATAAATAGGTAAACTTGTAACATCAATTTTACTTCTCTACTGGAAAGGAATTTGTCCCAATGGCTGCTGTGTCAAATTCTAAATAAATACCTTGACTTGTATCAGTGGGGGAACCTAGAAACACCCCTGTAGTTTTAGTTAGGTGTACTGGTATTTTATTTATTGTAATAATTCCAATAAAATCCAGTTCAGTATACTGTATATCCAACCAGCTTTTTGGTTTCTAAGTTTTTTTATTATTTGATTTTTTTTAAGTCTGGCTTTAACAATGTTGTAATTGTTGTTATATTTGTTTTTCCTTGAGCTACAGTTTAAACTATTTGAAGTTAGCAGACTCAACTTAACAAATGTGAAGTTGTTGTCAGACGGCTGCTCCTGACAGTCTGAACTCAGGGTGCAGACATGATGAAGTGGGCGTGGCCTGCAGATCGCCATTTTCCTCCTGTTGTTGTTAGCCTGCTAGCTAAACAGGCTAGCTGCTTCATGCATCTGTGTGGCCGTTCAGCATCAGAAACAAGTCGGCAGCCGCATTTAAAACGTGCGGCTGGGTTGTTGTAAAGAGTGCAGGGTCTCTTCTTCCCCGTCACCATGGACGAGGAGTATTACAGCGGCAGCGGAGACTGGGAGGGCACGGAGGGGAGCATGGTGAGATAAGACTTGTTGCTCTCAGACCGTTAGTTAGCCGGGCGGCGTTAGCTTAGCTTAGCTGCAGCATCTGCGGATTTGTTGTGACAGCAGTTCGTTAGCGTACAGATAACAGCGAGTAAATGTGCAAAGAGAGTTTAGCTGTGTTTCGATGTCCTGCGTGGTTTACTCGCTTCTTTTTCAGCTACAGGCGAACTAACCACAGAGCTGCTGGACATGTAGTTGCTGAACTGTTAGCTTACTAATCCCATTTTACTCTGCTTGGTTAAACTTTTGTTTTCATTTCTGCCATTTAATTCACTATACTCGTTTGATTTTGCGCTACATAAAATCATAATAGGGTATTCGGGTAAATCTTGAAGCTATATATCACCAAGCTGCAACAATTAAATCACTTGCCAAGTAATCTGAGTATCTTTAGGTTGTGGACAAAATAAGACATTTTGTCTTGGGTTATCAGACGACACTTTTTACTATTTTCTCACGTTGTATGGACCAAATTACTATTAATTAAGAAAACCACAATGAAAGTGATCGTTAGTTGCTGCCCTTGTCCGAAGCTGAATCACTTCATGATGGGTTGATGAAACAACCGAACTGAGTTTAATACACTAACTGGTCCAGTAGCTCATCAGGACTAGTTAACTCCTGGAGCAGTGACCTGATCAGTCAAATAGAAAAAGCAGATGGAACTTAAACACAGAGCTGTTGTGCATATTTTAGTAGCTTTAAATCTAACGATCACAGGAACATGAAAGACATTTGTCACATTACACAGCCTGACGAAACAAAAAGCTTGTTGTGTTCTCTGTTAGGCTGAAGAATGAATTGAAATATTATTTAAATCACAATATATCCAGGTGCAGTATCCAAATTGCAGGAGTTGCAATTTCTTCAAAAATGTAATGTGTGTCATAATATATGATGTCTGCAAATCTGCAGACAGTAGCAGAAGTTACATCATAATTTTTTTAGACATTTTCAGCAGAACGAAGAAACCACGATTCCCACTGAAATCACGAGTCATGTCACAATATCTATCAGAATAACTACAATATGAAGTTCCTTTTTTGCATACTGTTCTCCTTAGTTAACTCCTTAAATTTTACTAAATGCAACAATGAATGAGAACAGTGCGTTTCTCATTGCAGAATAATGAACCGTTGTATCGATGTGTCTTTCAGGAGGACGGTTATGGTGAAGGAGAAAATGACGGGAAAATCCAAGAAGATTGTTTGACAAAATTCTCCAGTCGGGATTACATCATGGAGCCCGCAATCTTCAACACCCTCAAAACGTGAGCACCCATCTCCTTGTGTTTTCAGATTTGTGCATATACATCGTCCATCCCACTGTGCGACACATTTCCAAATGAGAACAAGACGTAAAAATAACTGGGTGGACTGGCACCACCACACTGTGCAGGATGATAATGTTTTGACCAATGACTTGAATCATAAAGATAATTGTGTGTTGCAGGTATTTCCAAGCAGGTGGCTCTCCAGAGCATGTCATCCAGCTTCTCTCTGAAAACTACTCTGCTGTGGCTCAGACTGTGAATCTGCTGGCTGAGTGGCTCATCCAGATGGGTAGGAAGCAGACCACTCATCTCATCATTACTGTTTCAGAAAGCTCGCATTGTGTGCTTTACAGAAGACCTTTCCTTCATCTGTATTTTCTTTATTCTCATTGCAGGTGTAGAGCCAGCTCAGGTCCAAGAGCGTGTAGAAAATCACCTGAAGAGTCTCCTGATAAAGCACTTTGACCCCCAGAAAGCTGATTCTATCTTCACTGTTGAGGGAGAGGTGAGATTTCTGAACAGTAATTTTATGAATTAAGATATACAATCATCCTCAAATGTGTTCATACCATTTCATTTAAGCAAAGGCAAAATCCACAATAGTCACTCAAATAGCTAGAAACTGAAAAAAAAAAAAGATAAATAAAAATTTGCTAAATTATAATTTAGTGAAATAAGACATTGCTTTTCAATTGTGGTTGGAAAGAATCATTAAAAAAAAAAAAAGGGACAAATTAGAGCACTTTGCTGATGAGCAGTGGGCCAAAATCAAAATACCTGTCAACAGGTGTAGAAGTCTGATTGAGAGTTACAGAAAACACTTGACTGCAGTGATTGGCTCAAAGGGTTGTTCAACAAAATATTAATTTACGGGTCCCATCATGCTTGTTTTTTTGTGTTTGTTTTTTTAAAACATATATATTTCTGTTGAACCACAATTCAAAAGCAATGTCATGATTTTCATTAAATTTTTATTTGTTATTACTTTTGTCAATTTCTACTTATTTCAGTGACAGCTGTTGTTTTCCTTCTTAAATGGGAGGGTATGAATACATTTGAGGACGACTGTAACTGTGAGCATGATCTGCCTAAGATTTAGTGACCATGTTTAAATTAACTGCACTAAACCACCCTGTGTCCTTTGTTTTTTAGACGCCTGCTTGGCTTGAGCAGATGATAGCGCACACAACGTGGAGAGATCTTTTCTACAAGCTGGCAGAGGCTCACCCCGACTGCCTGATGCTCAACTTCACTGTGAAGGTATAATTGTAGCGTGACGCCTGGTCCAGAAGTGTAGGATCAGAATTAATACTGGAGATTTGTTGGAAACTGGAAGAAGTCAGTTTAAAGTATTTCTTTTGTTCATTTGCCCTAAAATGGATAATAATAACATTTATTTTCAGCATGAGATACATTTAATATAGGCTTTTTTGTTGATATCCACTCATTTAACTAAATGGACAAACAATCAGCTCATTGAGTGAGGATTTCTAAAAAGTCTCCTCGAAATTTAATCTTTTTGTTTTTCTTTTTTATTAAAAAAAAAAAAAGAAAAATAGTTTTAAAAAAATTAATAATTGATATTAGAATGCTTTGACAGATGAATTCAGTGGACTGCCGATGCCTCTGTTCATTTGTGTGTTTATGTGTGTGTGTGTGTGTGAAGCTAATTTCAGATGCGGGTTACCAGGGAGAAATCACCAGTGTGTCTACAGCATGTCAGCAGCTGGAGGTTTTCTCCCGGGTGTTGAGGACGTCTTTGGCCACACTGTTGGACGGAGGAGAAGAAAACCTGGAGAAGAACCTGCCAGAATTTGCTGTGAGGCCTACTCGACTTCTGTGCTCTATTCAGCAGGGTGCTATTAAGTATAAGCGTTGCTGGAAATAACTTACAGTTGCTGTTACAATACAGTGAGGATTTAAATCTCTTCAAATACTGAACTTCTTATACTGTATCAACGTAAGTTTCTGTTCCTTTAAATGTCATTCTACACTTGACTTCAGTGCTACAAGACTTCTTTATTATAGCAGCAATTTGGAGAACTAACTAGTCACTTCTTCATAGTTTTATGCAATAGTAAATTAATTATCTTTGAATTTTGGAATGGGCTGTGAATTTAAAGTCTTTATCGTGTGAATCAATCAGTGCATGTGGTGGTTTTCGGCACCAGTTTGCGACAAAACGTTGTCATTGCTGAGTCGCTCCCTCTTCTCCCTTGCAGAAGATGGTGTGTCATGGCGAGCACACCTACCTGTTTGCTCAGGCAATGATGTCCATCCTTGCACAAGAGGAGCAGGGTGGATCAGCCGTTCGTAGGATCGGTCAGGAGGTGCAAAAGTCTGCACATGAGAGGTGCTGTTTTCTCTCATTCAGCAGGATGATTTCATGAGTTTAAACTGATCGGGGAGATTATATTAACTCTGTACGGTTACAGAAATCCCTACCAAGTGGTGTAAAAACGATGTTCTGAGTTATAATCTTTAAGATGCTTCTTGGACTGTAAAAAAACAAAAAAATGTTTTCGAGATGTAGTTAAGGCATACAAAAAAAGTGTAAATAAATGGAAGCACACTGGTTGGGTTATGTGTGTAGATAACAAGTTACAGAGCTGATATTAACTTGTGGTTGTGGTTTATGTCATAGAGGTCATGATGCCAGTCAGATAACCCTCGCGCTCGGTACGGCAGCAGCCTACCCTCGAGCCTGCCAGGCGCTGGGCGCCATGTTGTCCAAAGGAGCCCTGAATCCTGCTGATATTACAGTTCTGTTCAAGATGTTCAGCAGCATGGACCCTCCCCCTGTCGAGCTGGTGAGAACAAAACTTCCCTCACCCTGTTTTTTAAGGCTTGTTAAGGTGCTATTAGTTAAAATACTTATATTTTTCTTGTCTTTAGATCAGAGTGCCTGCCTTCCTGGACCTGTTCATGCAGTCACTTTTTAAGCCTGGATCAAAGATCAACCAAGACCACAAACACAAATACATCCACATCTTGGCCTATGCTGCCAGTGTGGTCGAGACATGGAAGAAGGTACAGAAAACAATGATGCCATATTAAAATCTGCTGATATAATGTTGGAAATGTGTCGTGATAATCTAAATTAAAATACATACTGGCTGATTACTGTGCAGCTGTTTCTTGGCAGTTGAGCTAAATTCCAGGTGTGGTGCACTCAGTTAGTAGAAAATGGACAGATTTTATTTGCTCATGTGCTCCCTGGTTCTACCTCAACTGGGGCTTTATTTTTTTAATTCAATCCCAGAACAAGCGAGTCAACATCAATAAAGACGAGCTAAAGTCGACTTCCAAGGCCATAGAGACTGTCCACAACCTGTGCTGCAACGAGAACAAAGGAGCTACAGAGCTGGTGGCTGAACTCGGCACTTTGTACCAGTGCATCAGGTGAGTGGACAGCCAAGATCCTCAAAGCACATTTTTGTTTGTTTATTAGACTTGTATTGTTATTAAACTAAATATGTTTAGGTCTTGAATTGTTACTAAAACTAAAAGACATGTGAGTATGTCTATATATCAAACTGATGATCATAAAATAGCAGAACCAAAGAAAACTGCAAATAAAACAGGAAATACAATCTCAACAACAAATAAATCAAGATGACAAATTTGAAGCAACAACTGTACTTCATAGTTTTTGATTCTTCCTTCTGTTGATGCCATATTGTCAGTACTTTCTCACTGAGCCTGCTGACGTATGATCGTGTGTTCAGGTTTCCAGTAGTAGCTATGGGAGTTCTGAAGTGGGTGGACTGGACAGTGTCTGAGCCGCGGTACTTCCAGCTCCAGACAGACCACACTCCAGTCCATTTAGCTTTACTGGATGAGGTACGACGTTTCTGCCAGATTGAAGTTTCAGTTTCATCCATTGATAAGACAGCAGTAGAATTTAAACATGAATCTTTCCTCTGCACAGATCTGCACGTGTCATCAGCTGCTGCACCCGCAGGTCCTCCAGCTGCTCATCAAGCTCTTTGAGACGGAGCACTCGCAGCTGGACGTCATGGAGCAGGTCGGTGTTTGCGTCACTTTAAAGCATCTCGTTTCAGTTTTCAGCAAAAAGTCTGTGAGGTGTGTCTGTACGACTCTCAGCTCAGTTGGTTTTAATTTTCCTGTAGTTGGAGCTGAAGAAGACGCTGCTGGACAGAATGGTTCACCTGCTGAGTCGTGGCTACGTCCTGCCTGTCGTCGGTTACATTCGCAAGTGTCTCGAGAAGCTCAACACGGATATCTCCCTCATCAGATATTTTGTCACTGAGGTAAAAAAAAAACAACAACTTGCTTTTGCTCTTGATCAGAAGTGACAAGATAAAGTGACAGAAATACAGTGATTTGTGACCTAACTTTGATTACTTTCCTCCCTTACAGAAGGTATTATGTATCTGCAGGTCCTCACAGTTGTGAAATGTCTTGATAGAATTTATACATTCAAGGCCTCAGTATGGTCTCAGATTGAGTTTACCATATTGTAATACAACTGTGGTTTCTGAGTGTCAACGCTGCAGCAATTAATCAGTTAGTTGTGAAATAATACATTCATCAACTGTTTTGATAATCAGTCAAAATTCTCTAATTTCAGTGTCTTAAAACTGAATATTTTTTGTTGTCTTTAATCCTCTATGACAGTAAAATATCTTTGGGACCAAACTAAGACAGTTGAGGACGTCTTCTTTCGGTTTGGAAAACATGGATTGACTTTTTTCACCATTGTCTGTCATTTAGTAGGCCAAACCAGTAACTGATTAGTTGAAATAAGAATCAACAGATCATTTGACAATGAAAATAATTGTTATTTGCAGCAGCCCTACTCAAGGTACTGTTCATTCGAGGTAAAATGGCTCCTTTCATCTGATTTCTCTCACAGATGAAATGTTTTCATTTTACTATAGTTACATTTTTTTTAAAAAATCTAAACAAAAGTTGAGGCAACCTAACTTATAATTTCACCTGGTTCATCATTATGAAACAAATACATTGAACCCAAAATCACCCACACAAAAGTTTTTACCAATATATATATTTTAAGAAGCTGTGTGACACAATGTCTAAGCTCCATAATAAATTTCAGCTCGTTGTTTAGCTGTCCATCCTGCAACTTTAGTTTTTGTCTTTTCAGTTGAGTCTTGTTGCTCTCATATTGTCATTTTCAGCCACAGCATAGATAGATAAAACTTCATTGATCTCTTTGGTAGAGTACAATAAAATAGCGCTTTAAAAACCCACTGTGAACTACCTGCTCAGCTGCAAACAGCAGACAGACACAGTTAGTCCTTGATTATACTTCCTTGTGGGCGCAGACGGACAGCTGTGGACACCATGAACACCTAGTAGTTATTTTGCTACTTTTGTAGTCCGTTTGGACAACCCCGTTACGTACATGAGCTGTAGATCAGTGCCTGCGTTTCCTCCTCATTCACTGCTGACTTTATGGCGTAGTGGCCGAACAGACATAAATTTTGGGCAGTACGTCAGCCGAGGAGTCTGCACAATCTGACCAAATGTTCTTGTTCTTATTTATGAAGCTATTCTTGGTCTGCTTCTCTATGGATGTATATCAGCTAAACAAGTATGGGCAGTGATTGTCTTCGCTCCCAGGACTTTTTTGTGCTGCCCCATTTGCTTGAAATCAATTGCAAAATTGCCTGAATCTTAAAGACTTGATCTCACTAATTGAATTTTAAGTAGATTTGTGAGACTTTCTTGATAGCTTGTGACATATTTTTTGTTGGTGATTCTATTTTTACTGTAATGCACTCTTAATGTATATTCAACCCCTTTAATTGTTTTCGGTGTGTGTCTGTAAACTGTTTCTTGACTGCTGTAAATGCTGCTACTCATGGAGATCCAGACGTTCCTGATCTCAGTGAGCATTTTTCCTCAAAAACAAATAAGACAAAATTTACTGTGACTCTTCGCTGATCGTTGCATACTCGTGGTTGTGAGAAGTATAAAACTTGACTAGCTGGTTAGCACAGAGCCAGATGTTTAACCGAGGAGTTAGTAGAGACCAGAAACATGACAGCAAATGAACCGTTGTTGCCGTAGATGTGTAAATAAGCAACTGTTAGAACAACTTCCTCATTTGAATCCTCCCTGCACCCACTTTACCAAACAAAAAACAGGGTGGCAGATTTAAGCTTTTGAAGCCTTAAAAAACTTGTTTGGCTGCATTACATCAATGTGACCTTTTCAAACAAAGCTCAGCATGAACTGCTTCTCTTAAAGGTGCTGGATGTGATTGCGCCTCCCTACACATCAGACTTTGTTCAGCTCTTCTTGCCCATCCTGGAGAATGACAGCATTGCAGGAACAATCCGGACAGAAGGAGAACACGATGCTGTTGCTGAGTTCATTGGTAAGTGACTAACATTTTGTGTTAGCACAGACACGCTACTTCTACAGAAAGAGCAAATTTACAATGTCCACCCACCGCCCATTAATCCTCTGCACCTCAAGCGGTTTCTGGGCATTTTTTTGTGCACAGTTATGCCATAAATCTTTTTTTTTTTTTTTTTTTAAGAAAAAACAAAGGTTACATTTCTCTGATTCATTTTCTAAAATCAAAATATATAGAACGTTTTTCCAAGTACCCACAGGTGTTACCGGTACTTGAAACACAAAAACTCTACATACTTTAGGTATTTTTGTTTTTACAGAATCTGGTTAGAGCAAACTATTTATTTTGGGTGGATTTTTATATGAGATATTAAATATAAACTGATTTCTACTAAATGTCAGGCCTTCCTGAAGATGAGTTGTTCAAGGACAATCAGAAAGTTCAAAACCTGATAATTCTGTTTTTAGTTTGTGGCTCTGAAATGCGTTGCCTTTGCAGATTTCATAAAGACACATTTTTTTCAAAGCTGCAGGTGAGTTTTGATGTTCGAATAGTTAAAGTACACAAGAACTAAGAGAAGTAGTTCTAACACCTATACAGCAACTGTAAAAGAGCAGGAAACAACAGTTGTGGGTAAATTTGACAACTTACTGTCCTCGTCCTGTTGAAGCACTAATATGTTGGTGATCACTTTTCAGCTCATTGCAAGGCAAACTTCATCATGATCAACTGACGTGGAAACAACACTGAAAGCCGTTTAATGGAAGATTGTAAAAGGAAGACCAGAGGAGATAGAAGATCTGTTATCTCGATGATAACGCCAGGCTCTGCTTGACACTGAAGCACAGACCTTGGAGACTGATTTTTCAGTTTAACCAAGTGAGTGGAGATTGGATTCTGCTGCAGCAACAAAAAGGCAAATGTCACTGAGCAGATCGAACGACAGGAAACACAGAAATAAGACAGACTGGTCGATGGAAAAAGCCTCTGAAGATGCAGCTAAATGTTTCTTTTTCACCTGTATATTTGATTTTCTATATTTTATGTTGGTTCAAGCTGTTTTGAAATAAAAAGCTAAAGATGATTTTGCGCATTTTTGACTTTGATTCAAATTCAATCATAAAAAGCCATTTCAAAGGGTCATTTTTAGGGTCCGAGCACCCAAAAGGGTGCGAAGACCCTATTGGAACTGCTCGGATTATTATTATTATTATTAGGGTCCGAGCACCCAAAAGGGTGCGAAGACCCTATTGGAACTGCTCGGATTATTATTATTATTCGTGCCAAAGACACGCGTTTTTGAGGCCCTAAACATACTCGAAAACTCACCAAAATTGCCATG